AAAGCCATAATAGCGGATTGAGCGAACGAACGAATGTTCAATGGAAAAATTTCAGATCCCAATAAGTATTGAATAGAATTGAAACCCATAGTCCACCCTGCACCTGATAAGAACAATGCAGCCATTGCCCCTTTACTGGCTCTTTCAGACGAGGCAGATAACTCGACACCTTCATTACCAGCTTGAGGAACAATAGTTAAGAATATAGCAAAATATAAAATGGATAACATCTGGATAATAATACCAATATAAAGAGCCTTTCTTCTACCTAAGAAATCAATAATGAAGAAGGCACTCAAATAAGCACTAACGAACTTTACGACACCTAAAATAGCAGTCATTTTCAATGTTTCAACACCTTCGATACCAGATAAGGCAAAAAGCTCGTTAGCATAAATTGTGATAGCATTTGCACCGGACCATTGGCCTAAAATCTGTGTCAATGCAGCGACAGCAAAAAATCTATATCTGATAGACTTAACACAAAATATTTCTTTGATCATGCCAAATATCGTATTACCTTGAGTAGCTTCATTTTCAGCGTGGATTTGTTCATTGATATCGGAGATTTCACCTAAAAGATATGGATGGTCTGTAGGTAAATTTCTTAACTTTGATAAATTCTCTGCAGCCTTCTCGGGCTTATTAACTTTCAATAACCATCTTGGACTTTCAACACAAAAAATGAAAGACCCAATGAAAATTAAACTTGCTAAAACAATTTTAATGGATGTAGGAATGATCCATTGCTTATTTGTACTTCCTGAAATATGCAAAGCTGTTCCGTAATTTGCAAAATATGCCATCATAATACCAAAGTATACAGCACCTGCAAAAACACATCCACAGAGACCTCTGATAGCCTTAGGTGCAACCTCAGACATGTATGTAGGTCCAATAGTAGTAGTTTGACCAATAGCAAGTCCCTCAAGCAATCTTCCAGCATACAACTGACCGACATTCTTAGAAGTAACCTGGATAATTGCGGCAGTGATCCATAAAACACAGGCTGCTTGTAAAGATCTAATTCTACCAAATCTATCAACAACAAACATAGCAATAATACAGCCACCAATGGAACCTAACTGAACCATGGCAGTAATGTTAGATTTCAAGTTTGCAATCTCATCCTCAGATTTATTAGGATCGTTAAATCCAAAAAAATTTTTAAATGAAACTTGTGCAATTGATCCAGATATATTACCTTCATCATAACCTCTAGCCGAACCTAAGACACCAAAAACAAAAACTGAGAGGAATAAAGTCCAGTTATAGATTTCAGGTGGTGCATGGTCATCTTTTATTTTCCATCTAAACTTAGATGTCCATGAATCTTGATCATGATGCTTGGTAGCCGTAGAATTTGGAAGCTCGATAATCTGTTCCTTTGTTCCAACTTTTGACACTTCTGCCAAGTCTTTTTGTTGCAGCATTTTAACTTTGTTTCTTAAGTCCCTTTGCAATAATGTAATTGTATTAAATAATACTTATCAGTAATATAATGTGTATTCTATGACAGAAGAAACAAGTAAAATAAAGAGTATTTATTTATTTATATGTATTAATTACCCTTTGCTTATTTGCTAATAAACTTGAAATTCATCCTTAAGGATTCTCCCTATCTTTATATAAATATGAAAACAAAATTTTGTACATTTCCTTGCCCCACTCAACTTTTTCACTGTTGGTTAAGAACTGATACCCAATGGCATAATTGGGGGGGCAAGTCTCACCACTATTCACCGAAATTTCTAGTTTTTTTCTCTAACTTGCATGTCAGCGCATCTCCATCCATCAAAAACCCCGCGATTTGACACCAATCAAACCTTAATATATTATTAAGCTTCGTTATCATCACGTGATATTTCTTTTTTTGTAGTACAATGCATGCGAAGCCCCTCGAATTCCCGGAGCTAAAAAGGGTCAAACAACACTACGAAGTTCATCTCGGGAAGTCCATGTTACCCCAACGACAAAACCTATAATGCATAATCGTTTATTTCGCAACGAGATTGTCTGAACTGTAACTATCTAACGTGGTTTTTATTGTCACAGTGGTGTCGCATAAAATGGGTTTTGCCCCAATCAACATTCTTATGCGTAATCGAATAATAATTTTTAGTTGTATAAAGTGGTGGCATTGACAAGGGAGGATCCTCCATCACGCATCGCTAAAATAATCATGGTAGCATGAGCTCTTAGAATTGTGTTACAGATCTGTTTAATGAGAAATAGACATTTCGTATTTCATAAAACATTATTCTGTGGGTACATGCTGTAAGCATCTAATATCGGAATACTCTGGAACCTATTCGGAAACAGTTCCGTAAATATCGATCCCCCACTATAATGGTTCATAACCTTTGCCTACAAAGAATAGGAAAAGTCCGATATATGCCGCCCCGCGGGGTTCTCCCGGCGGCAAAAACTACCCCACCAATATCTTTGAAATGTATTACAAGTTGGTCTTGCTTGGATGAAAAAAATGTCCTAATTAAACCGAAAACAAATTCTAAAAACGATATTTTTACACAATCAATTAAAATTTTATTCCAATACGCCAAAACTGTGCTACTTTTCAAGAAGAGCTCATTTTTCCTTGACGGACTTATCATCTTCTTCGTTTGAATCTTTTCTAATAAGACCATTATCCTCAACAAATTCCTGCGATGGCTTAGACATTTCTAAATCATAATTAATTGCACCATCGTAGGCATTACCATGGCCATCATCGCTATATGTAATCTTGTTAATCTCAGAGTAATCTGGACATAACTGTGCTCCTCTTCTTCCAATAAGGTACCATGGCAAGTTGAAGATTTCTTCCATACTTTCCAAAGAACGACCGGCGACTTCTGGAATGAAGAACCATGCCCAGGCCAAAGCGACAAGC